GAAATTGTCCTAGTCGCGTTAACGGAGAGGATGGTAATTATATTGATGATATTAATCATAATAATAATAAGATAAATTTGTCCCTGTGCTTAACTACTTAAGCACTACGCCATGAAGGCGTATGGGGAGTAGAGCTATAGCGCCACTATTTTTGACCTCGGCACTAGTTGGAGGTGAGTGGTCAGCTTCACGCTCCGACCGTTTTACCCCCAGATAAAGAGCCTCCGGTACCCATTGGATAGGAGGTTGGTTTGACCTCAGAGCTGGTTTGGACGACGTGGAGAATAGAAAATTCTTGCCCCTATCGGTACTCGAACTCCGACACCTCGGTCCTCCAGCCTATAATCAGTAGCTATACCGACGCCTAATAATACTAATAGTTCCATTAACACATTCAATGCCATCATTAAGAAGGTAGGAAAGTAAATTAAACAATTTACAATTAATTCAACTAATATTTTAAATATTGTAAAAATTATTATATAATTACAATTTCATTATCAGAACTATTTTAAAGGTTATTATAATAAACATTATCATTATTTATTATTAGTATTACTCTTGTGACTGACACTGAAATTAAGTTTGTTGAATAGGGTGAGGGTCAGGCAGAGTGACAGAGCAAACACTGTTTAGTAATGACTGACGGACAGTCACTGACACACACTATTTCAAAACCGCTGATTTAACCTGTGAGTTGGATGAAAGCAATATGGGCTCCCTCTTTCGATGTTGTACTCAGTGGTATACATTAAAACACTTCAGAATTTTTTAGTTTGAATTAAAATTTAATTTTCTCAAACTGTTTTAAAATTGTCACATTCTGAATGTACATAAGCCACTGTTTCCCGCATTGGAATGGTTCGAGTTGGTTCCCGGAGTCAGATGAAGACATTCCAAAGTGAATTAGAAGTTTTGCTTTGGGGCGGGTGGGAGGTCGGCAGAGGGAGATGGGACGATGATATATATATCTCTGTCGTCGTCGTCTGTACCGTAGCGTCGTGACGCGTCGATAATATACCTGCCCCGCATGGGAGAAACAAGCTACTGGACAGACTTTGGGATAGCAGTCGAATGGCGGTCTTCAGTGATTCTGTGCAGTGGAACAAAAGGTGACGTCTGGGGTTTGTGTCCAATTCATACAGAATTCACTCTTTAAAGACTGCATTTCCTGTAAGAAATATACATAAAAATTAAGATTTCTGTCTTCTGAGATATAACGCAGTATAGTGTGTCGAAATTGAACCAAAGTTCTGTAGATACGTGGGGGAATGGAGGTATAGGTCCATCACTTTCTACTACTACCACTTAATGAAGATGAGTGGTCAGCTTCACGTTCCGCTTGCTTTACCCTGGGTGAAGTAGTCGCCGGTACACATAGGATAGGAGGCTGTGTGGGCCTCATAACCGGTCTAGATGCTATATTTATGCCGGGAATTGAACCCCATCCGTCTAGACCATAGACTGTCGCTATGTCCACTGAGATCCCACGGCTCCTTGTGAATACAGGACGAGAACTATAATCACTCTGCCAAATGTTATTGTGCAATAAACTGGACTTTCCTCCTGTTGGTTACTCATAGAGCAGTAGGCGTCTCGGAAACAAACATCTGTTTCTGTTTCTGTTTCTGTCTTGCGAGATATGACACTGTGTAGTCTGATATACTTTTACTGATTTTACTCTAAGTCACTGCTAAACATCCAGGAGCATACACGGCAGGACATCCTAGCAAACATTCATCTTCGCAGCTACCGCAGAGGGGACCCAAGTTCCACCCACAACCCACGCACGCGCAATCTTGCATGCAGTGGAGTGAGTCCATGCAACATAGCCCGTCTTTTGATCCAAATCAACTGATCTAGACGTGTCTTTCGTTTTATAAAACCTGAGAATTTAATATTTTCTTTTCTTTAGGATTTTACCACTGGTCACTATACTTAGCTACAACAACGCAGTTCACACACCATTTAATTATTATCCATTTTATTATTATTGTACATTTACGCTAGGTTTTCCAAGAGGTCTTTTCCTTGGAATGTTTCCGACTAAAATTTTATAATATTGTGACATGCCGCTTTAAAGCTGGAATATCGAAGTCAGAGCGGACGTCCCTTGCTAGACAATGGCTCGGTAGTCACGTTTCTGCTGCAATAATAGCAGTGAATGCATTATTGTCTAGGTGAAAATTGTAAAGACGTTTTCCTGGCAACGGAGGGACTAACTGTTCGACTCGGTGTCCCTTAGTCAGTACAGCGAGCAGATATGAAACAGGGTGCATTCGTAAGCAGAACTTAGAAGCGAGGAGCGAGAAGTCTGTCACAGAAGTGACGTACAGAAGATGTAGAAAACAGTGAGGGGATTCGACATTCAGAAATAGTTGAATATGTGAATTATTATAACCGAATGTAATTGTGTTAGTAACATCAAATAAACCTAATCATCAAATGTAGAATCCACAATTATTGATCACGCTACCCCTTATAAGTGAAAATATGAAGTTAAGAAAGCATAAATAAATCAGAAATAATTTAACACCTTTTTGCGTTGTATATTGAAAAATGCCCACAGAGTTAGCAGAGCGGCAGCCCGTCCTACTTGCCTTTCAGGAGACCACAAGCTGAGTCTGAACTTCTCGGGCCAAACACCAAGCACAAACGATTCTTTCTATTCTTAAAATCCCATAATTTCTAGTCTTAGTCACGCAGTTGCTCTTACTTACTTACTTACTTACTTACTCACGGAGCTTAGCTCTTCTTTAGAAGCCGCTAATTCTGCAGGCACTTCAGAATTTCCCAGCATTTTATGGAACCAGAATGTTCATTACCGTGTTCACAAGAACCCTCCACTGGTCCCTATTCTGAGCCAGATCAATCCAATCCATATAATACCATCCTATCTCTCTAAGATCAATTTTAATATTGTCTACCCACCTACGCCTTGGTCTTTCCATTGGTCTCTTTCTTTCTGGCTTTTCCACAAATATCCTATATGCATTAATAAGAGTTGCTCTAACGTCATTTAATAAAATAAGACGCCCGCAGACTGCAGATCTGTCATAATGTCGTCATTCATGGCGATTAAATTAAGAGTGTTTTTGAAGAAACAGTAAATTCTTGAAAATCATAATAGATGACATGGGGGAACGATTAAGGGACCCCTAATTATGAGTCACGCTGGAGGCACGTTTCATCCACAAGTGTGAAATAGTGCGAGACTGAGTCGTGGAAACTGAGCGGATGGTTCTGCCTAGAGAAGTCACTGCTACTAATTGCACAGGTATCCCTTCCCTTCGTCCATCGCTGTCGCTTCTGCAGGTACCCAGAACTCTCATTTGGCCCGTTTCTGTCCGAATTACACGCCTCAGTCTAAATCTAGATCCATATATTCGACAGTAGTTGCTTTTGCCTCCAATTACACACGCTGGCTCTGCAAGTAAAACTCAAAGCTCTCTCTGTGTTTAATTAATTAAGCAGTGCCCCATGAAGACGTGTAGGAGTGGAGGTATAGCACCACCACGGCAATACATGTACATGAGTGGCAGGCTTTACTCCCGGTGGGAAAGAGTCCTCGATGTCCACTCGACAGCAGGCTGGGTGGGCCCCAAAGCCGGTATGGACGCTGTGGAGACAAGGAAGATACCTTTCCGCTATCGGGAGTCGAGCCCCGACCGTCAAGTCAGTCGCAACATCGACTGTCTGGGCCTGGAAGTTTCTGACCGAAGCATCTGATTACTTTCGTAAAGGAACAAAACTTTCCCCTGTAAAGTACCGGTTCATAGTGGAGTCGTTATGTTTGCATGACCTGAATCTATTATAAACACATCATGGCTCATATATTCTGCGCCTTTATGTCACTGGTAACTATTTATACCTCTTGTTTTTACATTCATGTGTCTGCATATCGATCACAGAGTCCGCTCATGGGTTTCAATGTATTGCGAACTAAGAACTTTTCTAACTGTAATTAAGATATTTGCATTTGTAACCGCAATTCGTGTTCTTCTTGGGGTGTAAGAACCGTGTTATTCAATATTTATATATGGCCGTTGCCCTTTAAGGGTTGAATATGAATACATAAGTTCAAAACGGAAGCCTTATCACACCTATCCACATGCAACATTAACCATCGTTCAAAAAATACTGTCTTCTGTTATTGCATATAGTTAGCGGCCTCCGTAGTAACGTTCTCACCTCATGACTCGTAGTACGCGGGTTCAAATACCCGGCGGAGGTCGTCGAATTTTTAAGGGCGGAAAAATTCAGGGAACAAGTCCTCCGGGAGGGACTTTAAGCCGTGGGTCCNGTCTCTAATACCTCTGGTAGATGGAGGAAGCATTATAGATACCTCTCAGCCAGTAGAGCCGGTCTCGCTGGCTGGGCGGGACTGATGGTAAGTAGGATATAGAGACTGGTAGAATATCATAGAGGGAAGCACAATGGACTAATACAGGTCTAAGTGCATGGGGAAACCCACCCTCTCCAATAACTAACTAACTACTCCATATAGTTTGGTAGGTATATATAAATGTTTCGGAAGAATTTGCTGCCTCAATCGACACGATAGCCAAGCGATAAAAATAGTAACGATGTAAGGAACGGGAGTTCCGGGTTAGGGGCTCGAAGTAAATCAGTCGCAGGCAAACAGCAGTGGCCCTTTAAAGGGCCGCTTTGAAAGAAAAATTGAATGGAAAATTGGAATTGCCAGTACCTGATTCTAAGGTCAGAGTGTGGGAGAAGGAAATGCTGAGAGGTAGAGAGAGAGAGACAGAGAGAGAGTAGAATATAAAAGTAAAAGAGAGGAAGAAGAATCAGTCCGCGAGAAGAGCAGTTGTCTGTGCCCTGAGCAGTATTCACGTATACATCCACCCATATTCTTGTACATCCATTTATGTTAAGGTCTATTTTTGTGCCTTCATTTATTCGTCTTTAATTGTTCGAACCATTTATCCATTTCACACATGAAATTCTGAAAATTTCAGAATATTGTTGTTTTCTTGCAGGAGGTACGGCACCAAGTGCGGAGGCTGTTCTCAGGGTATCTCTCCGAGCGACCTGGTGCGCAAGGCGCGAGACAAAGTGTTCCACCTGAACTGCTTTACGTGCATGGTGTGTCGCAAGCAACTGAGCACGGGAGAGGAGCTCTACGTCCTGGACGACAACAAGTTCATCTGCAAGGAAGATTACATCTCCGGCAAGACGCACCAAGGTAACGTACACAGTTGCATGGTCGGAAAACTTGAAGTCAGCAGACGGTTCTCGAACTGTATACAGAAGTACATCCTCGACAGGACGTAAAACTACAAAGGGGTGTATTTTCAGTAATACGACGAAATGAGTTTCCGGTAGGATATGCAACCGTTTAGGATTCATCTCTAGAAAATCACTTAAATCGGTTTAGGCTACGTCTCCAGAAGGACCTGAATTAGATGAAAAGCTGCATTTGGTGCAGGACCTCTAACTCTTTAAAACCATGTCTTCAGCATATACCCGAATTGGGTTTAGGGCCATATCCCCGGAAGGACCTGAAGCTCTTCTGGGCTACCTCTCCGGTAGCACTTGGAACTCTTCAGGACTGCATCTTCAGAATATCCTTGAATTAGATTTAGGAATAGTTTCCGGAAGGACCTGAAGCTCTTCTGGGCTACTTCTCCGGTAGCACTTGGAACTCTTCAGGACTGCATCTTCAGAATATCCTTGAATTAGATTTAGAGAAAATCTCCGGAAGGACCTGGTAATTCAGGACTCATTTCCAAGCATTTGAATTCAGATTATGGCCACATATTCTTCAGAAAATCTTTAGGATTATACTTTCAACGTGCCTTTAAACTGGGCACGCGATAGCATAGTTGGTTGAGGTGCTATGCTACAAGCTGGAAGGTCGCGGGTTTGAGTCCCGATGAGGTGGATTTTTTTTTTAATTTGCCTAATCCTTCCAGCCGCATTATGACCCGGGTTCGATTCAACCTCTATAACAGAAGTGAGTACCAGAAATTTTCCTGGGAGGTAAAGGGCGGCCGGCGCGTAAGGCTGACAAACTTCCCGCCATTCGTGAGCTGATTATCTACAGAAAATGTGGGAGCCTCGACGTCTCACAATCCTACGGCCCTTCACGGCCTGTGACAGGGATAGATTATTTTACTTTCAAATGTATTTAAATTCGATTTAAGGCTACACATCCGAAAGGGCCTGAAACTGTTTCATCTCCAAACTCTCGAATTCGGTTTAGGGCTAATTCTCCGGCAGCATCTGGAATTGTTTAGGACTGAATGACCAGTAGGACACTGAATTACTGAGAACCACATCTCCTGCTAGACCTCGTATACAGTTTAAGACATAAATGGCAAGAGGTACCAAGAATGCAGTTTTATTATGTGTATCATATAAAATATATAAGATTTGCCTTCCTTTGTAGCTGAACCATATCGGCTTAAGATTCCATCTCAAGCCTCTATTATGCTTAGGGGGTACTGTGTCCCACAAATTGTCGTTCTGCTGTGACTATTGGCTCCCAACTCCAAGTTAACATTTTAGGGACTTTTGTTTTAAACTCACACAAGAAGATTCACGCGGTAATTGTGTCTCTGAGCGATTGTCATGAAGTGTCTATAAAAATCCAGTGACGTGGAAGTTAACGTCACGGTATGATGGGCGGAAAATTATCAAATCCTGAAAAAAAAAAAAGAAACATAGTTTTGAATTCCGACACTTCGTCACAGTACTTTTGTCTCCTGAATGTTGTGGCGAAATAACAGGCTTATATGCGCCCCCCCCCAAAAAAAGTTATTCAGAAATAATTCTAGCGCTTCCCTGAAGATCGCAATGAAATGTTTAAACTTCGCTCGACTTGCGGCCTGCTTATGCTGGTTTCATGCTTTTCCAACTTTTCGACCCTGGAGATGAAGGCGGTATGTTCCTCCGAAACATCAAGTTTTCTCAAAATGACGTAACGTTAAGTCTCACACGTATTTGTGAGGTTCTTGGTTCAGTTCCCAGTCCTGATACCACCAACTGTGTTTGAAATCCATATGGTTTTGCACTTACTACACACAAGTAATTTTATAGTACCCCTGCGTTAAAATAGGCCACTCCCGTAGTTAAAAATCATTTATATCCATCATATTTTGCGTTATAAAACTATGTAAGGGAGACAGCGTCGTTATATAAAATAAAAACAGCTGTATGTAAAATGAATTAAACATACAAGGGCTTCACATTTTAAGGGTCTCCTGGCGGTCAATGCCTATTGCCTCCCATATTAACCTGATAAATGTTGCCACATTTAAATTCACCGCGCATTCACCCCATTTAGTATCCAAAAGATTATTTAATTGTGATGATTTATGGCGGGATGACAACAGAGAGATGGCGAAAATATCAAGAGGGTAGAAGTATTGTAGGGAGGGTGGTTAGTAGAATCGCGTTACCGCCCCAAAGAAGCGAAAATGAAATTCGAATATAAAAAGAGTTAAATAGGAGATGAATGCGCTGTTACGGAGAGGCAAGCCTGTGAGGCACAGGGTGAGTAACAAAACACTAACTAGCTCAGAATTGGAAGTACCATCCCCGCAGTATTTTCAAAAGACGAAATTCTGAGCTGAAATTACGGAGACAATCGATGTTGTGTCCTTGGGCCATGATAAACTTATCATTGGAAGTAACGGCCTACGTTTCGATTTCTGATAAGGGCGGAAGAATATATCTGTCTTTTTTTCATGAAATTGTTTATAGCCATTCTTGGGTCGCACACAGTCCCCTGTCCAACAAAAATTCGGGAGTGAGGGGGATCATTCCTAGGACTGATTACAGGTGGTCGGAGCTTGAAACTATATTTCTATCGTCTGTGATCCTTGGGCAAGTCCTCTTGGTACGGTACTTAAGGATATGGATAATTTTTAATACTCATAAATTTAAAGTAACTGCACACGAAGCTCTACTTGGTAAATACTGCCTTCTGTGATGTTACGCCGTGTAGCAAAGTTCACAAAAGTCGCGGAGGAACTTCTTCAGTGTAGGGGGAGGGGGGGTTGTTTGCTTCTTGCTGGTGAGTTTCTTGGTTTACTCTTAAGCCACATCAGCGAACTTACGCCAGCCTACGTTACCTCTACATAACCGCCTCTGTCACAACCTCAAATCCAGCACGGTACCTTCTGATTCTTCTCACGCGGTTGCTTAGTCGGTTGAGGCACTATGCTACGAACTGAAAGGTCATGGTTTCGATTCCAGATGATGTCATTGGATTTTTCAATTTACCTAATCCTTCCAGCTGCAGTAATATTCCGTTACGTGGCTGTAGGAACTGAGGAAGGGGGAACCATCTGTTGGGCTTGCGCATTCGTGAGCCATTTTATTGCTGACGACAAACAAGGAGTAGAATTTATCTTCTCTAAGATAATTTTTCTACAGCAGTTCCTATGCATTTTGTAACAATGAAAAGAAAATAACATTCACGGAGACATACCTGTAATAGTTGGCTCCAGTAATGATTTTCTGCAGATGTAATTTCTTGTTATTGCAGGATGGGTCATACTAGGCGGACCTTCCGTGTTTTGAGCCTAATATTTATATCTGCTTGGTTAGAGATAACTTCACATACTCAAAACTAATGACGAAGGAAGTTGGTGTGAACCACGTGCGTGTTTATATTTCATCTTACTCGTTACAAGTTATTTATATTCTGTCCATGCAGGAAACATAACCTACGCCTTTCAGAGAGGGTGTCGCCACCATCCGCCTGTTTGCATGTTCTGTTTCTGAACCCACTTCAGTAACTGTTTTTATCAAGAATCTATCGTAGTTGGTTGAGGCACTATGCTACAAGCCGGAAGGTCGCCGATTCGATTCCTTACCTAATCCTTCCAGCCACGTTGTGGCCCTGGGGTCGACTCAGCCTCTAACAAAAATGAGTACCAGGAATTTTCCTGGTGATAAGGGGTGGCAGGAGCATAAGTTTGACAACTTCACAGCCATCTCTGAACTGATTGGCTAGAAAATGTGGGAGTCTCGACGTCTCACACCAATATGGTCCTCCACGGCCGATTAAGGGGCAGCTTTATCCTACCTACAGAATGTTACATTTTTTTGGGGGGGGGGGCGAATTTACTTTCTGTTAGCATTGGTTTAAATTAGAACTCATGTCTTATATGAAAGCCATCGATTTGTTTCTACTTAGTTAAAAATAGCTCTGCATATAAATTGACAAGTAATGAAATAGAGGCTTCATTTACTTCCACAACTTCTATGCGACAAAGAAATCTGTATTTTGAATGTTTGACGAAGTATTAGGAGCAATGTTTTCTGGATGTGAAGTCTCGTATCTAGGATCAAAAAATGATCACCTCTATGAAATACACTGTCTTTTACTTAAAATTGGGAATGAACACCAATAACAATGGCGGATGCAAGACAGTAAATACGCATTTGGAAAACATGGCTACTTCTGTCGACTCCTTTTCCCAGTCTAAGCAGACTTTTAATCGCGTATTTTGATCAAGCACTTTCAGTTTCAGTTACTGTACACAACTTAAACATTGTGTAGTGTTCAAAATATTGATTGATTCCTGTTAGAGCACTAGATATATGAAGCCCTAAGGCACTATGTAGGCCGCCGGGTATTTCAATGCTTAGAGCAGATTAATTTCAGGAAAGAAATACTGAACGTGTTAACATTTCCTTATTCTGAAACGATTAAAATTGTAATAACTTTTTAAGTCTCAACTTCTCTAAAAGAAATCTTGAAATAATGGTCCTTCTATCATGCGTTCACGGACACTAAGAACTGCTACAGCTAATGCTTGGATAGTACTTCCAACTAGGTCAAAACTATTTCCTTACACCTAATTTCGAACTGATTATTTACCAAGGTAAATGTAAAGTGCTTAATTAAGTACTCCACCATGAAGATGTACGAAGGATCCACACATTCTTATCCTAGGCACTGGCGCACTCAGCCTCAAGACCCGGCCGTCTTATAGCTGAGGAAAACTGGATACGAATCAGGAATACTGATTATTACTTTGCAAATTTCTCTATCCATATGGTCCCTAATTTTAAGTCCCGTGTCATAAAGGCGTATGGGGAAGTGAAAGAACCCCACTCATTCTGAAACATAGATAAATTTGAATGGTCAACTTCAAACTCCGATCTCCTTACAGATAAGGAAAAGCCCTGGTACCAGTCTTACCAGAGATTGGGTGTACCTGATAACTGAGCTGGACGCTGTGACGAAGAATCCCTGCCCCCTAGAAAATCGAACCCTGGTCGTTCAACCCATAGCAAGTCATGTTAGTGACTAAGCTACCTCGGTTCATCTGCATCCAATGATTTAAGGCGCATTTTTTATAAAAAGAGAGCTGTAAGCGAGCCAGGACAGCGCCCTAGTGTTTTTTGGGGGGTTTCCGAGGCGCCGCCCTGGCACTTCTTTTAAAGACAGAGATGTTAAACAAGTTCTTACAGGCGGTTTAATTTCCGATCTCCAAGGTAGAAGCGCCGGTTGCTTCAAGCATGTGCGTTTGGCAAGCAGTTGGTTGTTCAGATCCGCGTTAGAAGTGCAGACGTATCGTTAAGTAAAGAGAGCGATTTCGTGTGACGATTCGCGTCCGTTTCTTGTAAGCTGGACCTGCGCGACGGACCTCCTCCTACCTTATAGTTTTAAGACTACACCGCTTGAGAGAAGTGAATGAGGCTTGGCGAGATCAAACGCATATGGAAATTTCTATCATGTACCCTACATATCTCCATGGAGCGTGTTAAGTACAATATAAAGATGTGGATACTAATGCTATATTATGCTTTTAAATCATACTTTAACCTAGGCATCGTAATATGTCAATATGATATTATTTTCCCATATTTTATATGTTAAATAAAATCTGCTGGTTTGGTCTGTATAGGCATTAGCTTATATGTAATCCAGCAGCTGTAATTATTAACCATATTATTCAAACAGTTGTAATTATGAACCATATTTAGTTTGACAGTTGTATTATGAACCATATTTAGTCTGACAGTTCTAATTATGAACCACATATAATCTGACAGCCGTAAATATGAACCACTTGTAGTGAAACAGAACCAAGTATAATCTAACAGTTGTAATTTTTAACCATATATAATCTAACAGCCGTAATCATGAACCACGTGTAGTCAAACAGCTGAGTTTATGAACCATATATAATATGACATCTATAGTTATGAATCATACGCAATCTTACAGCTGTAATTATGTACCGCATGTAAAATAAGAGCTGTAGGTAATAACTACCTGTAATATAACAGCTGTAAGTATGATTCATATGCAATTTAACAGCTGCAATTTTGACCCATATGTAATCCAGCAGCTGTGAATATGAATCAAATTTAAATACAGTAATCATAACGAAATATTGAGAATAATTTTCTGCGAAACGAAACGCGCTTATCTTTGTAAGATTTGAGGCTTTCACGGCGGTGACTATGAAGAAAGCAGTCTTCTGGGATTTGGCACCGTGTATATGTGGTGTTAACCGACGTTTCGGAGGAACGTATCGCCCCCATCTTCAGGGTAGAAGAAAAAGTATAAGAAATCTGCAAGCGACAACACCGTGAGAAACGGTAAAGGCGTTTCTCACGGTGTTGTCGCTTGCAGATTTCTTATACTTTTTCTTCTACCCTGAAGATGGGGGCGATACGTTCCTCCGAAACGTCGGTTAACACCACATATACACGGTGCCAAATCCCAGAAGACTGCTTTCTTCGCGCTTATCTTTTATCGAAATGTAAATAACCACATTTATTAACTGAATAAAAAAAGGCTTCTTGGACAAAATGTCATTGAATATTTACTTGAAGAGATAATGGCCTTATAAACGTGAGCGGATTTGATATGCAGAGTTGCAGCAGTTTTGTGGTAATGTGGAACGAATTCTGGGGCGTGCTGTGCGCCGCCTGGAGGTCGTAGTCCCCTTCAGTTCCCTGTTTAATGCCGAGCGCCATCGATCCGGAGGCTTGCCTGCCTGACCGGCGCGTTCAGCGCTTCGTTCCACTTGCATTAGATTTGAAATTCATCATCGGAAATCGTGTTAAAGTGCTCAAAAGGTCGCCGGCCCAAGTTGTTGCATGAGGTAATAACTTCAACAGGCTTGTTCATCATCTGTAAGGGTGGTTTATGAGTGGGTGGAGACCCTTTTATATATATCTATAAATGCAGCTTTCACGTAGGTGGTCACTAGTTCGAGTAAAGGGACCAAATGGTACGTTAGTCTTGTGTTCATAGTTTTCAATAATTATGTTTCTTCTTAACATAAAAATTAACATAGACAATTATACGACACAGATTATCTTCAGCGTTTGATAGTTTTTAACTGATTTGAAATTATTTTTAATGAAACCAGAATGTTCATTACCGTCATAGCAAATTCACACAGTTCAACCCTACCCAGAATGTTATTTTGCTTGGAAATTCAGCGGAATCTCTCATAAAATTTGTCGACTTCTCTTATTTTTCTTGTATTCCTTTACCAATCTTTTGCATGCCACAAGTGGCGCCGCCAATAGCATTCCCGTGAACTCTCTGCAACTGACTCGGAACGTACCTTACATTACTTTGGATTATGTATTACACCACAAATTCTTTATTATTAATAACTAATTCCACCCTCAAAACCCTGACTTAAAATACCTTCAATCTATGTTCTTTAGAAAGAGAAACATATTTCATACCTATGAAAGCAACAATTATTGCATTTTAATAGAAAGATGGTGGGGTTGAAGCAATTGACTACAACTGATCCAAGTAATGGTGGCTAATAAACCTTTTCAGAATAATCAAGAACGTAGAACAATCGTGGGAATGTGCAGATGTATATAGCCGGGAGATGCAGAGAATTATTTACGACAGCTGAACTTGAAAAAATGGAGAAAAAGAAAAATATAAAGCAGAACGGGCGAATGTTTTAAAGGAGGTCTGTAGAACCGATGAGTGATTAAATTTATTTGATGTCAGTTGATATTTGATGGCAATTATGAACTTTGATATCGAAGAAAGGAGGGAGACCAGTAGATCTGTTTATCTGATTCAGGGCAGCTTACTAATTTTGTGTTGGCTTAGCTACTATTGTTGTCAGAATAATCAGTTGCCAAATAGGGGATTGAACCGGGCACATCCGGAATAAAAGTCAGTAATTTCTACTGCTTATTTGTACGTTGCGCCTGCGCAGTTACCACTCATTCCTCTTAGGTTAGATTCTCGGTTCGGAAGTTGATTTTTCTAACCGAAGATTTTCGTGATTTTTCTCAGACCTATACATGTATTTCGAGTTACAGCCTGAAATTTTGCTGGTACTTTCCCTTGTCAGTTCTTCCACTTACTATTCATAAAGACTTTCAGAGTCCAGAAGTGTAAGCATCTGTGAGAGGACCATATAAGGACATCGTTAGGATCACAAACCATACGAGTACAGTCGATACTAAGGCGGTTAGTGAATGACTTGTTGAGAAGAATATGCAAAAGAAAATGATTGTGACCTAATCAGAATTACTATTTTAACATTCGTCCAAAGGAACTGATTATAACC